TATACTGAAGAACTTACGAAACATTTGTGACTAAGCAGACTTTTGTTTAGGCCTGGATAAGCTAATGATACTCAGAAAATAGGAGAAAGAAGAATCGCATTTACATACCCAAGTGAAAATACACAATTACAATAGCGTTCTATCATAACATGACACCCGACCCCTTCCATTATCCCCCACGAGACTCCCAAATTACCCAAAATGGGTAATGTCACCCCCTATGAGAACCACTGGGTTACATAAATCGATGGCTGTTCAATCAAACAGTTGATGTGAATGCGGTACGGTTCATAACGAGCGATTCGTCAATAATTTTTGCATTATTCGCTCAATGGGTCTTATGAAATGAACTCAGGGCACATATGTGTAAGCAAAAGCCGTTCTCTGCCCGTACCCTGGAGAATTTACCGTCAAGTAATCAATATCAGCTTTTAGATGTTGCTCGTACGCTGGAAGTTTGCATCGTGTTATCGCCTAATATGAAATGAATTTCTGGTTCGTTTTAATGATCTTTAACGGCCAAAATGAAAATGGTTTCCATAGAAAACTGTCGTGGACAACAAGATTTTTGATTACTCAACTATGTCAAAACTCAACTTCTATGAGAGAACAGAAAACCCAGAAAGGACACAGTCCGTTTGAGAAGAAAAACAATCGCAACTGAACGATTTTGTCATCATATCAGCATGAAATTTGTTTATATAGTCGATGCTCAATCGAAATCAGTACAATGGGTCATTTGTTATATTGTTTGTGAATAGTCACGAAAGTCACTGAATATTCAGTGCACATTACAACTGTTTTATTGTTCCGATCTTTGTTTTTATTCCAATTATCAGTATCACTCGCATTGCTTTGTGAAATCATTCTAATTGCATTATTTAGTCGAAAAACATTCCATTAAGATGCTCTCCCTTAAAATGAACAATCAGTTCGTTATGCCATTCGTTTTAGGTTCACCAAATCAACAATTGGTTTTATTCGAACCGACATCTCCAGCATGCCGTGGATGAACACGCTGTATATTTTTCCAGATCACAATCCGAATNATATTTTCAAAAATATTTGCTTCGAATGATTTCGCCAGTTCCATTATATCCACATTACTTCATCAACATTCTACGATCTGGAATAGCCTTCATCGGAAGGAAATGAAGCTCTTAGGCAATGAAACTTTAGAACCGAAGCAGATTAGGAGTGAATGAACAGCTCTTGTAGCATGGACGTTCTTAAGTACATAGAAAAGTGAGGCAGTATTTTGGTCACTCGCGAAAGGAGCAAAAAGAGCGTGGTGTAATCACCTGACGCCAAAACAATAGGCAATTTCGCCGGAGGGCATGAAAATTTCATTCGAGGTCATCAAGTCAACCCGTCGTTCTCTTTGAAACCAATCCCAAAAGGTATTCTGCTTGACGTAAACAGTCCTATGATGTCCTTATGAACAACTGTATTCTGTTGATGTATCCAGTATCATGTTGTCAACTTCTGTCAAGTTATGCTGTCAACCATTTGGAAAGTTTTATTTCTGAGTGTACATCGGAACCATAAACAAACATATGAAATCACAGTGAAATGATGAGCTTATCTTTATCCCATTTAATAATTTGAATTAATAAGTCAAAGTACCCTCAGAGAGCGAGCAATTCGTTGGTCTGCGTCAGATAAATTAGATGAGTTAGTTTTAGAACGGCACAAGTGTTGATTGCTCGTCACTGCATTTTGCGATCGAACCAAAAGCTCCTGATAAAGAATTCAAAAATATCTCGATAGTCACAGCAGGGATATGCGATTCCGCAGTCATTTAACAACAAAACAACATTCATAGCAAGAAACTGTACATCACAAATGAGCTCTCACCGTAGAATAATAAGTGGGAACTCTGGAGTGAACTGCGGGAGTTTTATCTAGAAAAGTGAACAGATGAGCAAATGACCTGAGAATAAAAAGAAGTTAAAAGGCGAGTATTTTTGACTGAACCTGCAATGAAAAGTTCGCTAAATGTATCTTTTCTTAACAATTATCTGCAACAATGAATAAAATGAACTGAATAAATAACAACATTATACTTTTCCATCAATGACAGTGTAGGTGTATCAGAGTTTTGAATCAATTCAGCTTTGAAATGAGAATCAATCAGTGCAATGACTTCACTGACAACGCCAATAAAGCGTGCACGAGTACAGCAATAAAACTCTACAAAACAGTTGAGCATTTGTCGCAAATCCACTCAAAAAATCAATCAACCTCTTTAGATCTATAAATTATGAATAAAATTTTTGATCTTTGCACATATTAAGAACTTGAATAGGGCGTGTAGGCCTGCCTTAAGCAAAACGTTATTTATGGATCTGGGCATGTGTATCACGTACCAACAAGCATGATGCACACTAACAAACGAATTTTCAACAAAATATTGTAATTCAATAATACATCAGAAGCTTTCATTTTGTTTTCATCTTCAAGGAATTGATAAAGAACGAGATCATATGACGTGCACTGTTACTGCATCATCCTGCGAGTGTTAGAAAATATAACATAATTTCGTTCCTTTTATTTCTAGAATTATTTCGCGATAATGTCATCAATGGAATCCATACTGATCGACTTTTCCTGAACGATTATGTCATTAGTGTTCCAATTAGATGATTACAATTGACTACTGATGCTTTATGCCAACGATTACTATTCAGCGAGGTAAATTTTTTTAATGAAATGAGCACGAATATTAGTTGAGTGAGTAACAAACACAACAACACCACACATGGCACACAACACACTTGGAATGCGGTGTAAGACACAAAGTTTTGAAAGAGAATAATCACGAGAGAAACTGTAGAATAACAGTTGAGAGGCTATACAAACCAAAGATTAGTGCAATGAACACAAAACAATAAACTTTACAACATTTAGATTTTTTTGAAAGCATTTGAGCAGTGTGAAAATTTATAAACGAACAAACGAAAACAAACAGGGATTGAATGAAGCAAACGTGCGGTGAATAATAATTAGTGTAAGTGACTGACAGATGTCCATGTGAATAATATTAGTCTTAGTTTATTACAATCACATACATATGTACAATACACATGCTTACGGATCTCTTCCAGTTTCGATTCTCCTCGATCACTTGAACACGAATAAGGAAGAACGAAATGGAGTGGTAAAGAGCAACAAATGAAAAACATGAGAAAATAATCACAAGTTTTGAAAAAATTTTCCAGAAAGAAACACAACAATTTGTTCGATGTCTCCTTCCCTACAGATGCATTAAGGCAGGGCAGTCTGAGTTGTAATACACCGAAGGAATGTTTTGTATTCTCAAGGTTGATTGCTTCCCGATTCGGAAACAAAACATTGTTGAAAAGTACACATTAAGACAGCAGACCATGACGTTTCATCTCTACAGTGAACGGTGATAACTAGAGATAGAAAGCTACACACAAACACAAAGACATACAATATGGCTACTATACCTCAGTTTCACGAGTGGTTTTACGACTAAATAGTGGTCGTGATAATCCATCACTGGTTTTTGTTGAGTCAGTAGGATCGCGAATCGGAACACGCAATGAATGGTTGCGATCATGTGTTGTTGGAATATTTGGCAGATCATCGAATCGTAGCACTTGTTGAGGTCGCTGATTTAAAGTTGGTAATAAACGAGCATGTGCAATACCATCACCTTTTGATTGATGATCGACCTAAATGGCAAATTAATCGTTTACGGAGCCATCTTTCTTATCACTACCTCAGTGGAGCCATTCTATTTTTTGGAGATGAGGAAGTTCGTAATCACATCTCGGAATGCGACAACTTCACCCAGCAAAAGCCTATTCCTTTGTTATCACATTAGAAATAATCCAGTTCAACAACCGTGATCATTATAAGTAGCAACTAGACGACAACTTTTGATGAATCTAGTTTACTCCAAGCGAATATAAGTGACCTATCGCTTAGCTCAGCGGTTCTCACAGATGGTGAAAATACCCATTTTAGGTAATTTGGAGGTGTCGGAGGGGGGGGGGGGG